CCATGGTTTTGTTTCTGAGAGCCGCTCCGTTTGAAAGCAGATTGCCGGTGCAGACGACACACAGTGGTGTAACAAGCATTCAGTGGCATTGTTGTCAACATGGAAGTGATGACAAATCTGGCCGCGGCCACTTTGATGCGAAAAACGGCCCATTTCAGAAACGGACGTTTTTTCGACCCATATGATGGCTAATATGAAATCCAGCACGCGTACAAATTGGATGGATGTTCAGATTGAAAAGAGCCGTTTTTCGGGTGGTAAAATGTTCCAAACTGATGTCTAAGGAACCAATAAAAATGGAGTTGTGCTTTAGCTTGCAAACGATGTAAACCGATGTTACCACTTGTTGACAACATTTTTGATCACCGGGTGCCCGCCGAAAATTTTGGTAGCGGCCATTTCTCGAAAATATTGAAAATTTTCCCAACGCAATTTTGTCATTTCTGAATGAAAGGGCATGGTCCATTTAGTGTTTATGTGCAACGGCAAGTGTTTCTGTGCATGCAAACAGTTTGTGCAGCAATTGCAAAATCAACATCGTGAGCCGTTTGAGAGTGTTTTTTGGAAATTACTTCCAAGTTATACGTGCGTTAATGTTTTACGTTATGCCATCGTGTTATGGGCCATTGGCCTAAAATGGCCCAGATCAACGTGTTGTTTTTAGAATCACACTGCCTAGCGTAATATTTGTCGCTTATTAAAATGCAAAGCTTTGAGCGATCTTGGGTGAGTTTGGTCTTCATGACCTTCAGAAGGTGAAACAAGGTTGCTGACCTTAGTTGAGCCTGTGGTCTTTTGCTTCGAAGCAGTTACCTATGTTATGGTGACACTTTGGAGACCAACCTGGAATTTGACGCGATTTGACCTTATTTGACCCGGAAGTCATGACGAAGGAACCTCAATCTTTGTCTTAAGTGAGTTCACGTGCTGATCAACCCACCCTGTAAGTTTAGTGCCTCTACCTTTCTTATGTCGCGAGATCTCAGCATGGTCAAATTGACTCCTCACCCGAGCGGAGGCCGTCCAGTTGGCCACCCAGGCGCGTGTCAATATCATGCTCAGTTTGTTCCAAATAGTATCTTGCAGGTACCTGTACAGGAAATCCCAAATAAAATGTAGTTACCGTTTTCCTCACTAATGACCAGTGTCTGTCGCACAATGGTGACATTCAACTATGCGACCAATGGGATGTCCCGTCGGCCTTGTCGACAGTGATGCGCAGAGGCGGATCCAGAGGGCGCCATGGGCCATGCCCCCGCTTCCTTGGGCCGCTATGATGTTTTGGTATCCTGAATGCGCACACAAACCTTCATTCCGGAATCACGCATCTTTTTCAATAGCTGCTTAATCCCAACGATGCCTCAAAGGCCTGAAATCTGTATTTTGCGAGGGGCACCATACTCCAGAAGCAGCGCACAGCCCTTGTCCTGTCCACTCGCGAAAACATGGACCGGCCCATTCGGCGAAAGAACGCCAAAACCTTCATTTTGAGGCATCAGTGCCTGAAAAGGAGTGTTCCCATTTGTATATGGTTTTGAACTTAGCCATTGAACTTAGCCATAGCCATTTTGAAGACTTTTCGGTGCTGTTCACAATCTTGCCGTTCTAACACCTACTCCCCTTGAACCTCTGAGCTATGGGCCCGCGAAAATGAGAAAGGTATATCAAGGGAAGTATTTGAAAGTCACCTTGAGATTCATGACGTAATGATATTGTTATTAAAATCTTGCCATTCCATAGGCCATCGGGTGATCAAGACCAAAACAAAAACATGTCGTCGTGGCGTTCATATCTGGCGTTCGTGAGCGCGATTTCCAGATATAACGGCCGTCCATGGCTCTCAATCAATGTTGTGCAAAATACGATAACGCAATCAAACCATGAAGCATTGGGAAGTATATTTGCTAAACAGAGTATTGTGGTGTCTAGAGCAGTCTTTTCGACTTAACAAGCACACCAATGGTTATAAGTGAGCTGGTTTCATCATAGCTGATGCTTGCTTCAATATCTTCAAATGTGAAATGTTCCCTTTCATGCTGAGGCAAGACGCTCAATCGCGGCATCGCTAACGATATCAACAAGACCCAAAATTGAACATCCATGAAACTGCACCACGAGTGTCACCGGTAAAGCCGCATTGCATTGAAAACCACTGCGCACCTCCTTTTTGCAGCGGTTGAAAGGTGCCTTGGCGGCAAGACTAATTGCCACATCTAGATCCATTTCGGTATCTTCTGCTGTCTAGTATAGGACACCAAACGCCAACTGGTAAAGACGGAGAATCGGCCAATCGCGTCAGCCATTGGATATGCCTTGATCTGTCACCGACCTATCACCGAGTCCATCAACCGTCTAAAAATCCTAGGATGTCTTTGGCCCGGGTTTGGATGAATTTTAGTTGTGTAGCGTGCTTTGCAACATTTGGTCCTGGCCGTCATCAAAATTTTCAGTCAAAACATTTTTGGTACCAGGTGTCAATTTAATTTATATATTTGTTTTGCCAACCTCACGCACCGAGTTCTGTGCACCAAGTTTTGCCATCCCTGAGTTAACATCAAAATAGAACAAAATTTACCTTTCGAATCAAAGTGGGCTAAATCTGGCGTACCTTTTTAGTGAGGACGTACGGAATTTGATTATTTGCTGTCCACCAGCAGGGGCCCTCTGTTAACTACGGTGAACCTTTCTTACCGCGACTCTGGCCATAGCGCCCGTGCATCTCCTTGACGAAATCCCGGAGGTCACTCCAGATCAGCGCAGCCAATGTGGAGGGAGTCATCCCACCCATTATCCGCATTTTTAGTTATTTTAGCGCCGTATGTGGTCTTTCACAGATACTTTTCACAGAAAGCTCGAATTTTCTCGTGCGCTTTGCATTGGACAATGCTTACAGTAACCATTGTGAAGCACTACCTTTCCGTGGTGAGAGACCATGTGCTCCTGATCCTGCGATCCTGATTTGAACCAACATTTGCGCTCACAATATCTCACCACAAACACATCATCTTCCGGCGTTGCAGTCTCCAAAGGCGGCCCATGGTCGGCTGCCAAAACTAACACTAGCGGCATAAGTGCGTGGGCAAAAGCGAGACTTGTCGGTAAATAACGCTTCCGAGTGTTTTGTTAAGTCGTTTTGTACGGGCGTCGACAAAAGTGGATCATACATTTCGTGTTACACTGGTTCCGGGTCGGACATGAGAACAAATTATCAGATACACCAACAAGCAAACGATCGATATTTCCCCCATCGCATCGATACTGACCAGAGAATGTGAAGACTTGGTCGCCATCTCAGAAGACACCATTTCGGCCGTAACGATTACATTTGTTATCAATTCATTCTCCGTTTCCATCGCATCCATGCGCAAAAAAGCACGGCTGCAGGACAAATTGCTGAATGGCGTTTAAACGACTGCTATTTTACCAAATGTGGAATCCCAATTTTTGGACCATTAAATGTCACAAGAGATATAAGAAATGGCAACAAGATGAGTGTAAACTGGCTAAATGGTCAATTGTACGAACCGATTTTGCTCAAATGCGAATTAGACGATTGCAAATTATTCGAAGTGATACCGCCAACAGACCGCAAAGGTTCTTCCATGAATTATGTCCCACATTAAGAGGAATCATGTCGGTGAGCATGTAACCAATAGTGTAAGGACATAGATATACTCAGTCTCGTTTCGCATGCTATGTCCTTGATAAAGCTGGATGGGCCGATGGAACAAAAGCTTTCATCCCTGTGACCTGGCATGACGCATGACAGTCAAATCTGTCGATTTGACTCTAGATTTGACTAGATTTGACTAGACTGACTAGAGCCGATTTGAAAGATATTTTTTAAGAGTTATTCATCACCGTTTTCTGCATTGTGCCATGCTTAATTCTTACAGTGACAGGGGGGGGGGGATCTGACCTGACCTGTACTTGATGTGATCAGCTCCCATTTTTTTCGGAATTATGATTGAAGGTTTGCATGATGGGATAGCGACCTTCGGAGTACTCGTTAAACAACGTTGCGATGTTAAATAACGATTATATTTAGTGCCGTCAGTAAAATCGTCGGTTAGCATCACGTCGTTTAAAAATGCCTCCTGGTATATTAAAGGCCGTTGACTGAATATAAGAAGTTTCAACTGATCATGATTTAGCGTGTCTAAGTTACATTTGCCATTGTGTTGTCACACCTTTCTGATGTGGTTCAACCAGAGCTTTCAAAGTTCGTCTTTCCCGTGCCTAGCTTGCTTGGTTTTTTTGAGATCTTATGTAGAGTTACCAATGCCTTCCATCGCATGACGGCGGTGAAAAAGGACTATAGGGCGAAGCCTAGGGGGGTTATGTCTATATCCAATCAAAACATTTCGACGCAAAAGAATTCCACTTAAGAGCATCGGCTAATTAACATTCGACTGAGGAGCGTTTCTGTTAATCAGTATTCGACCACAGCACATCTTCGTGGTTCACATTCTACGAAAAAAGAAGAATGTTCCGCCAAAGTGATATTTGACTAAAGGGTAATTTGGTAACTTGATATTCCACCAAAAAACCCTTGGGCACTTTGCACCCTGCTAAAGAACGTTTCGACTGATTGCCGTTTGAATAAAGAGTATTTGGCCAGATTGACACTCATTGAATGTGTATTTCGACTGTTTAACTTTTTCAATTTGATGTGTCAGCAAAAGGGATGTCGGCATGTTGCGGCATGTTCAAACTTTAGCGTTTCGCCTCATTGACACCGCGACAGGAGTGAGTCGCCTGTAAAGCAGTTAGTAGTATGCATCGGGGAAAAATATCTGCAGGTAAACGCATTTCGGTTACATGCCCGGGTTGCAGCAGCGCAGAGTCGGAGGCAGCCACGAGAGCCGTCGGCCGGTGGGCGGGGCGACGGGGGCGGCGACCAATTACAGCTCGAGCTGCCGGGGGCTCGTCCCGCCGGCCGAGGAGCGAGGCGAGTCCGGTCAGTCACTGTGGCCAGTGGCGGAGAGACGGCGGAGGGCGGGTGTTCGCGCTCGCGTGATCTGTCGGATCGTCGCAGGCGTGCCCAGCAAGCTTGTGAGTGACCTCTGGCCAGGTGGCCGCGGCCCTGCCGGAGAGACTACGTGCCTGGGACGACGGTGACTGCGCGGAAGGCGAACTGAGGTACGGCGTAGATGCGAACAGACTGGCGTGCCGGTTTTTAATGGCCTTACCGCACAATAGGTAGCTACGGCGCGGGCATTACAGTTGCTGCTTAGTCTGTGCATTTAGGCTCAGCTGTCGCGCAAAGTTCGGGAGGGGCCGAGAGGCTGACGGTGCTAACGTTGGGTTGCGTGGTTACACATTACGCAAGACCGCTCCCAGCGCCTGCCTCGATCTAGATGCGTAAGTTCCTTCTTTAATTTATATTCCTCCCAAAACGGGTTTCGTTTTTTTTTTGCCACCCATCCAGGCGCTCTGCTTCATCTATATGCATCCTCGCTATAACAAATGGAACGGAGGCTCCTAGCCCATAGGCACTGCGATGAACACTAGACCGCGCTCCACGGCACTCGTGCTGGTCTGAGTACCGCCCTTCTGCTGGACTTATGACGAAACAGCACCTAAAACCATACTTCCATCCACCTTGTTACTGACGGACATGACAGAGGTTGTCAGGGCACACACACCGGCACACATAACAGGCACACATAACGGAGACTGAAAATAGATTGGCATTACCATGCTTCCAGGCACAGCATTAAGCCATAGGCTAGCGTCTCTTGTGACACACAACTGGCGGGAACAGTTCCGTTGGCCCCGATTTCGCAGTCTATTCAAACATATACTCTACGTGTGATACTACATGGTGGTGACCAGAAAATACCAAAAGTGATTATGCGTCATGGCACATCGCTCGTGACAAACGTTTTACGCTTGAGATACTTGTTGTGAAGGTTTTTCATCAAGTAACATGAAGGCGTAAAGTTTGCACTATATCCATGTGTGCGGAAGCGGGACAGCGCGTTTCGTTACGCCATATCAAGCCTTTCTTCCTCCATCCATGGCATATAATTTGGTATATTTTATCGAGCAACTACGAAAGTTTGATCCGATTGTTGCAATATAGTCTAGTTGTGCCCTTGCCGGTATCGTACTGTGCCGTCAATCCCGTCCTGTGGCCGTGCCCAGACTGCTGACCACTTCTATCATCATTCTCATGCCGGGGTGCTGCTTCTGCCGCCGCTCTCAGCAGCATGCAGGCCCTTTTGTCACCGCCATCGGAGCTACAAGCTCTCTGTCATCGTTCCCGGGAACATGTGAAGCCCTTCCCCTCATCGCCGCGGGAGAACTTCGGTCCTTTTTGCCACCATTCCTCGGCAGCCTGTGAAACCCCTCTCCTCACCTTCGGCAGGAGCCCATAGGCCATTTTCATCGCCCTTCTCGGACAAGAACGTTCCTTCTCTTCCCGTGTCCTGGAACCTATGTCCGTGCCTGAGCCTGATTGGCCTATGCCACCGTTCCCGGGTCTCTACACCCCTTCCATCACCGCTCTCGGAAGTCTACATTGCGCTGCCGCTATACGCGCGCCATCAGACCCGTCGGGCTGTCAGGCGCCGTCTTTACCCCGGCTGCTGTCCTGAACCCACCCCGGCTCGAGCTCAGCACCCCCAGCACGCCGTGTCGACGCGCCTCCATGGGGGCCGTCGGTACCCCGGCCTGTTCTCACGGCGGCGGCGCGACCAGGTTCCCAGCACGCACTACAGACTGCTGTTTACAGAACAAGCCCCGTAACTGCAGACAAGACGTCATACGACTGTGGACTAAACCACAGGACTGCAGACTAAACCACAGGACCACAGACTAAATCACAGGACTGTAGACAAAACCAGGAAACCGCACACTAAACCGCGGAACTACAGACAAAATCACAGGACTGCAGACAAAGCCAGAAGCTGCGGAGGAAACCTCATAACACACACTAAACTACTGCATTGTAGGCTGCAGGGCTGCAATGCTACAGACTTCAGACCACGGGCGTGAGAACAGGGGAGGGGAGCGTAATCGTCGCTTCCCACTTTTTAAAGCGTGTTTAAGATTGCCCATATGGCGATGCATGAAAAAACGAAGGTCAAAATTGGCAGCGAACCATCTCCATCTGTGCTCTGCTGGAGTGGCAAACCTTTCTTGCACGCTCATTTTCTCGATTTTTGCTCGTTTCCAATGTCGCGGGAACTTGAACTTTGGAACGAAAATTTCGTAGGCCTGCGAAAGTCGGAAAAATGAGCTCAAAAGTGGTGTCTACAGTCCGTAACAGCTAGCGCTGACGGACTGCGCTGCGGGCCGTCCACGAATGTTACGGACTAAGTACATGAAAGGAATACCTTTCACCATTTGCTTCGCTTTTTCCAGCGTGTGTCTTTTGTAATGTTTTAATACACTTCTTGGCCAAAATGTTAGAGCAATGAGCAGTGTAAAAGCTATTAAAGGTACAACTTATCTGAGTGTGAAAGTTAAGGTGCCACTTATCAGATATTAACTTACCCATTGACCCGCGCCTTAAGCACCTGCGGGCTTAAAAGTGGCACATCTAGGAAGAAATACCTCAGTAGTAATGAACGTTTGTGACTGACATAGCGGGCGGCGTTAGCCGTTTAGCGAGAAGTAGAGTGTTGGAAGTTAGAACTAGTGTGTCAAGATCATGCGGTATGCTGCTGACATATGCCTGTCTTGTAAACACAGCCTTGCAACTGTCTCGGTATTCAAGTACACAAATTGCTGAAGCGTGTTTCCAAAGAGTCAGTGTGCTAAACGCCGCAGAAGTAGATTAAAGCCATGGGATTATATTTCGTTGAATTCGTTTGCTAATGACATCATACTTGTATGCCCTTTTCCCTAAATAGAGTGTTCCAAGCTTTCACAGCGCTCATTGCTCTAGCATTTTGGCCAAGAAGTGTATTAAAACATCGCAGAACACACACACGTGGAAAAAGCGAAGCAAATGCTGAAAGGTATTGCTTTCATGGTGGCAGGCGGGGAGGACATCGATATTTCTCCCCTCGTAGCGGCTAATGGAAATCTACACTGAGTTATTCAGAAGGATTTGCAAGAACTGGCATCACCGATGAAGCCCAACTCTTCTGATCTATCTTCGGTTACAAAGTACGAACTAGCTAACAAACTGCGCTCAAGGTGGTGGAACGTAAAATCTAAATATATATTACCGGAGCAGGGGAAGTAAGCATCAGTCACAGCTTACCAGATCTCAATTTTGACGTGAAACGCCGTTTGCGGTGCATCGGGGCTGGAATCTCTGGCACATTTTATTCCATTAACAGGTGCACATTTTGCTCGGCTTTATAGGCGTCACCAAAGACCGCTGCTGGCTGTTTAAGAAGCACACAAATCACGGCTTTTGTAGCCACAAGGTGAAAGAACAAAATCATATGGTGCCATTTCCAAATAAGAATTATATTTTTCGAGACGTGGCGCCCTGCTTTTTGTATATGCGTTGTACTTCGCAGAGTTTTGCTGCCATTTCCGATTGTCTAAGCTTAGCGCGTTTGCTCTGCGACCACAGGCCAGTCATGATAACTCACGCGCTCTGTAGCACAACAATCCTTGACTGCACAGGCCGTCATTTATGTCGATTCCAGCGGATCTTCCTGAGAACCAGAACATCGTCGTTCTGCCAAGTTAGCTCGGAGCGATCCGGCCAGTTTTACGACCGTCTCCATCGTTGTCCATCAGCCAATGGGTTGTTGTATTTTTTCGGGCGGGATTCAAGGGCCCTCGTGGCAGGTCGTTGCAGCATCTCAATAGCTATCGACGGCGTTTATCGGCGCCATAAATTCGCACCCCAGCACGTCCAATAACCAGTTGGCATCTCGGCCGACCGTTTGGCATCTCCATCGACGTTGGATGATTACTGGCCATTATAACTGCGCCGGCCACAGCTTTTGTTTGCAGAGCGGCGCCCATGCCAGCACGCCATCCGTGCGCCGCATTCGCCGCCGATATTCGTTCGCCGCTTTCGCTGTTGATAGGGAGAGTTGTAGGGAGAGTGGAGAGACTTGTATCAGTTTTTACTCCGAGCTCCCTCCTGCTATAACTAGTTGGGAAAGGGCTAAAATTCTTATAGCTGTAGACAGCTATAACTGTCAGCGTCATCTGTAGCGGTAAAGTTTTTGGAGAGCACGTCTTTGTTTTTTGGTAAATGACTTTTGAATGATCTCCTTTTGAATGACGCAATTTGCCCCACTCTGGGTTGGGTTGCATCACATGACTGTGCTGACATTTTTTGTCATAGAGTAAAGTGCACCGCCAGAAAGCTGAATGTGCTGTGACATATAGACCCGAATACGCTCGTCTGTGCTGTTTCGTAACTTTTACGGGTCGTGCGGGTTTGGTGGGAGGGAGGGGGGGGGGGGGGGGGTCAGTTCGTCAGCCTTCCTCCTCCCCCGTCTTACTGCGCCGCTGCGTGCGTTGGTACCTGCATAAGGCGTACCGAGATGTCATGCTGTAACGGACCGCGACACATGAAGATCAATGCATGGGCAATGGCATGATAGCTGAATTACGAGTTGTGACATCCCATGGGCGTCAAGCATTTGATCTCAATTCGGACCACTGAATCCGTATGCACATTTGTCTTCAATAAGCTGGCTTGCACCAACTGGAACGTATCCAGGCATGCATGTTCTCGCTACCATGCTAAAAACCGAGTACATAATAAAAAACAGATGTCTTCTTAGCTACCGTAAGTATTTCACAAAGGTAAAAGGCACAGATGTGCGTGTACTGTATGAATACCACAGCCAGGCTCACTACATTTGTCATTTATAGCAACACAGGCAATTAGATGTGTCAAACGACCTACGCTTTTTATATTTGTGAGCAATAGTAAGTCTTTACCCTTTTGATTGGAGGTATTTATGGAATCAGCGTCAACGCCAAGCGGTCTTTGTTGCCTGAGACCGGGCATTACCATCCGTTCGTAGAGCTCCGGGACAGCAGAAGAGTCTTCCGTTGAAAGCTTAACGTCTCCCAATGCTCGTCACGTCACGTCCATATGAGCTCCTCTGGGCACCCGCAATGGATATGAGCGAAAAAGAGCGTACTGAGCGAGTAAGAAACTACTGCAACAAGGCAGGCTTAAAGTACAGTTCAGCGGTGTACCTGCC